CACAGAAGCGAAATACGATGTAACTCGTCAGGCCGAATAACATTTGATATTATCAAGCCGAGAAATAAACTTCGATGTTAGTCATCAGACCGAGAAACATCCGTCGATGTTAGCCATTAAGCGGAGGTACGTTCATCGATGTTAGCCGTCATTCTGAGACACCTAATCCGATGTTGGACATCAGGCCAGGGAACTTAATTCGATATCAGTCATCAGGCAGAGAAACGAATTTCGATGTCAGACATCAGGCCGAGGAAACTACTTCGATGTTATGCATCAGGCCGAGGAACGGCGTTCGATGTTAGCAATCAGGTCACGGAAATTCCTTCGACTGTGGCCATCAGGCTAAGAAACGTCCTTAGATGTTAGCCATCAAGGCGTGAAACGTACTTCGATTATAAGCATCAGGCCGATGAACGACCTCTGATATTAGCCGTAAGGCAGAGATATTCCTTCGAAGTTTGCTAACAGGTTGCGGAACGTCGTCTGATCTTGGAGTTTAGGACGACAAACGTTCTCCGATGTTAACCATCTGACCTAAAAGCGAATTTCGATGTGAAACTTTCGGCCGTGGAACGTACTTCGATGTTCCACATCAGTCCGAGATAAGTACTACGTTCTTAGTCACCAGGCCGTGAATGATGATTCGATGTTATCCACCAGGCCGAAAAACGATCTTCGGTGTAAAGCCGTGGAAGGACATTCGATGTTATCCATCACACCGAGAAGATCATTTTGATGTTAGATGTCAGACCAAGAAACAAATATCAATGTCAGGCATCAGGCAGAAGAACATCTTTCAATGTTAGGCAATGGGCAGTGTAACGACCTTCGATGTTAGACATTAGGCAAAGAAACTTCGTTCGCTCGGCTATTAGGTCGAGAAATGGCTTTCAATGTTAGCGTACCGAGATTTGCACTTCCATAATAGCCTTCAAGCTGATAAACGACATTCGATGTTAGTCATCCGACCGAGCAATTTAACTCGATGTTAGCCATCAGGTCGAGAAGCGACTTTCGATGTTAGCTATTATTCCGAGAAACGAACTTCGACGAAATCAGGCCGAGAAACTTGCTTCGATGTTAGCCTCCAGGCAGAAAAACGTACTTCGATGTTAACCATCGTCCGGGAGACGTTCTTCGTTGTTATCCATCCGGCTGTGAAATGACCTTCGATGTTAGACATTAGGCAGAAAAACGACAATTAATGCTATACATCAAGTCGTGATACATCCTTCGATGTTAGCCATGATACCGATCAAATGAACTTCGATATTAGCCATCAATCAGAAAAAAATCCTTCGATGTTAGGCTGAGGGACGACATTCGTCCGAAGTCAACCCTCAGGCCAAGAAATGCTTTTCGAAATTATCCATCAGACCAAAAAATGACCTTCGATGTTAGCCATTAGTTTAAAAAAATTGCAAAGGAATATTAGAGCGAAAATAACGTGGGATCCTGGCTCCAGGAAGATCTATTTATGAAAAAATTCTCTATATAAAAATAAAATGTAATAAAGAGAATGAATGGGACATTATATTGTATATGATGTGGAGTATGAGTTTTCTTCTGCTGATGTCAAAATAGTGTCTGAAACAAACTAAAAAAACCTAAAAGGTTTTAATAAAACTCTGCAAAATGTTTCTTTCTTATCAATTACCAATAAAAAGATTCAAACTCTATTTTCTCAAATTTATATCATTTCTTATCATCGTCCCCTTTCTGAGTTATTGTTTTATATTCATATGACTATATATTTGAAACTTCCGAGAAATATATAAATCTGCAACCAGCTTATTTCTTAAATTAATATTACAAGTAATTGGCATTTAATCAGACAAGAAATTAAACAAACGAGAATATCAAGCCATCAAAAAAACCTATTATAAATGGGGAAAATAAATTCTAATAATGGACATTCACTGATATTCATTCTAAGAAATGCTTAAACTATATTCATATTTATTTATATGAATATGAATATGAATATAATTATTTACTGAAATCATGTCAAAATCATAGCAGCTATAAACACTACCGTGGCAATTAAAAAATATTATTGTTGTGTAACAAATATATTTTTAGCAAGTCATTTTCAATAACAAACATTACGGCAATAAGGGATGCTGAAAAGGAAAGTAAATTAGTAGCCAGAAGTGCTACCAAAATATAATCAATCTCAACTGAATACAAACCCGGACTATAAACCGGCAATGGAATAACTTTTGAATTTTGCAACACTAATTTATTGAAGTAGAGATAAAGTAAAACATTCTCGAAATAAACCGCATGGTGGTCTTTATATGTATACAATAATAATTATCTTACTACTTTACAGAACTAAAATACAGCAGGACATTTTATTTTTGTATCGATAATAAATATTACTTTATACACTCATGTTAAAATATTCACGACAATGATTACGGGATTCCAATGCAGATGTAGTGAAAACTGCTGACAGCCACATCTGTGCATCTGTCTTAAATGCATCATGCGATTTAAAAACGTACTTCCACAATCTTAGTGGAATAAATTTGGGCATTTTATTAACGCAACACTATTTAAAGAAAAGCGACATTTGTGACACATCAGCGTTGTTTGACCAATACAACACTAAGAAAGTCATTGAAATAAATACAACGAAAATATATCTAACTTTTATAATGAAATCAACTTCAATTCAATTAACTAATTCAATTAACCAATTCAATTCAAGAAATTCAACAGAAGCTATATCAGTTATTCGCGGTTAAGATAAATAGTTATTTTAACAAATTTTTCATTTAGTTCTAAAGTTCCTTTGTAATAAATGAAATTGTAAAGTATAATCGGGATATTTTAAAATTTGCAACACTATAGCAAACTCTAATGCAATCTGAAATATATTCTTTTACAGATATAATCTGTACTCTTCACCCGGAATCTTCATTAATTCAAAACTCTAATAAAACCCGCAATTAATTTCTTGAAACACTAAGAAAAAATCGCGACTTGCCATATTTTATGATGGTAAACCTATATCGGCCACAAAAGAAAAAGAAATACTACATGCTACAAACTCTAAATGCGGGCATAGTAACAAAATAGTAACAAGAATTACTTCCAATTTTTTAGATGCATTTCCCATCCAGAGGATGATAAGCCATTTGTTGCAGGCTCTTTCTATAGCAGTTTTCCGGTCCTCTTCTTTTTTCGGATGCGATGCTCGCTGAAACATGAATCTAGGCTTAAGTTTTTCTATTCGCGAAACCAAAAAATAACTTATAAAGATGAAATGAAAATATAAATCGTGATTGCTGCTTTAAATACACATGGATGATCATCGATCATAGAGATCGTTGTCCGTCAGTATGAGCGTGCTTGAGTACGCCTACCTACATAAAAATTTGTATCGAGATGTACCTGCGACCCATCCGTGATCACGACCAAAATACTAAATTCGAAAAATCGAAGAGTAATTAACAGGTGACATGGTCCATTTGTACCACTTTCAATGGCGATTTTCAAATTGCATTTCCAGAAACAAGTTAAACACACGAAAAGCGGGCGCGCGAACAGAGACTTTTTCTTTTTATGTGGAGGAAATCTTCAAAAGACACCTAATCCATTGAAGGGGGTGGCAAGTTTGCCGGACTAAACTAAATTGTTACAGACTAAAAGTTCCACGATAGCCTATCTCTTGCGTTTGGACGGTGGGGTGGGGGACGTCTGGAATTTCCAGATAATCTCGCGGTGTCGTCCAGCTGCGCCTTTGCCTTTAGGCCCAGCCTTCCCACCTTAGAGGGGAAGCGAGGTCCTCTCGCACAACCTATTACGACCTATTACGATCAAAGCAGCGACTCCGAGGACCATTCTCAGTGTTGAGCCCCTTTGGGGTCGTTTGCTCTGAGGAAGCCCTCACCACCGATGGCTCTAGGGGGTAAGCATATAAGATCTGTACCGGGCATCAGTCT